TCCTGGCCCCTCGCGGCTGCGGCCGGGGGCCCCCCGAGTGTCTCTCGCCTAGGGGGCCCTGGGAGAACCTCTGAGCTTGGGGCCCCTGTAGCCTCTGTTGAGTTCAGATTGAGAAGACTAAATTGGATATATCAGAGTGTTTTGTCTTTAGAAACGTAAGGAGGCAAGAAGGCAGACTTGCGCAGCGGCACGGGCCCCGCGCGAGTGGCTCTGTACAGTTGGTGTTGTGCTGCTGCTGCTGCTGCTGCTGTTAGCTGGGCCCAAAGGCGTCTCCCGAGTTTGCTTTTCCCCTCAGTTCTTATTTCTTTTGATTTAATATTCACTTCGAACTGCGTTTCTTGCTAAAATTTCCCTGTGCGGACAAGAGAGCAGCAGCAGCAGATTGCGGAGTCAGGGGCCCCTCGCCTCCTTCTGCGTCCACCTTCCTCTGCGCCCTTTCAACTCCGTCATTTCCGTCTTTTCTCTTTTTTATAATTCATTTCAACAAATGCATCAACGGGCCTTCTCGAGTCTGCTTTAGGTCCCACCAGGGCCCCACCCCCACCCTCCAGCGAAAGGGGGCCCCCGGGGGCCCCCGCGGCTTGCTGCGCAGGAGGAAGCAGCAGCTAACTCCACCTGTGGCTTCTAGAGAGCTGCTGCAGTTAGTGCTGCTTTAAAAACTATCCTTTTGAGGAGCTGCGGCGTTAAACTGGCCCCGGCCGCAGCTGCTGCTGCCCCCTGCACAGCACAGCGCAGCAGCAGCTTCAGCGCTGGCCCTTCATACCCAGCGAGGCCTTACTGAGCAGCAGCGGCGTGTTGAGCGGGTGTTCCCGGGCCTTGAATTCCCCTACGCACTGCAGCAGCAGCAGCAGCAGCGGCATCAGCAGCAGCAGCAGCAGAAGTTGTGGCCTGTTGCTGCTGCTGCAGTGTGGCGAAATGGGGGAGTCGCCCTCAGACGCGCTGACCTGTGCCCTGGAGGCGCTCGCGGGTGAAGGAGAGAGGCAAACCACTTTGGCTTATGACTACCTCATCAAGCTGGTCCTCATAGGCAAGCTCGCTGCTGCTGCTGCTGCTCTTGCTGCTGCTGCTCGTGCTGCTGCTCTTGCTGCTGTTCTTGCTGCTGCTCTTGTTGCTCCTCTTGCTGCTGTTCTTGCTGTTGCTGCTGTTCTTGCTGCTGCTGCTGTTGCTACTGCTTCTTCTACAGATGCTGTTTCTTGTACTGCTGCTGCCCTTGCTCTGCTGCTCTTCCTGCTGATCCCCTACTCTGCTGCTTCTAGTGCTGCTGCCTTTGTTGCTGCTGCCCTTGTTGCTGCTGCCCGTGTTGATGTGGGGTTTATTGCTGCTGCCCTTAAAACTGCTTCTACGCCTTTTGTTACTGCTCCCACTGCTGCTAGCCTTGCTGCTGCTGCTTTCAGCGCTTGTGCCCTTATTGCTGCCGTCGTTATTGCCGCTGCTGCTGTGCTGCTGCTGCTGCGCTGCTGCTGCTGCGCTGCTGCTGCTGAGTGTGTCTAGTGCTTTCTGCGGGTGTTCTAGGGCAGCGTGCCTGCGGTGTACAGACACACTTTATCTCTCAGCTGCTTATCTCTCAGCCGCTACAGCCCATCATTCCCGATTTAAGCATTTCTTTTATTTCTTTCCTTCTTTTTATTTCCTTTCTTTTTTATTTATTTCATTCCTTTTATTTCTTTTCTTCTCGTTATTTCTTTTGTTTATTTAAACTCGCAGGAGACAGCGGAGTGGGCAAAAGCAGCATGCTGCTGCGCTTTGTAGAGGGGGCCCCCCCCCTGCCCCATGGGCCCCACGGGGGGCCCCTCAGAAGGGGGACCCCCCACGGCAGTCCCTGCAGCGAGGGCCCCCACGGCGGCGAGGCCCGCAGCGAGGGGCCCCCCGAGCAGCACTTTCGGGGGCCCCCCCACGACAGCCACCAGAACGGGGTGCCCGACGGGGGCCCCCACGGCGGCCCCCATGGGGGCCCCCA